GATAGATGATAGATAGATAGATAGATAGATAGATAGATAGATAGATAGATAGATAGATAGATAGATAGATAGATAGATAGATAGATAAATGATAGATGGATGGATGGATGGATGGATGGATGGATGGATGGATAGTTATGGATGGATGGATGGATGGATGGATACTCAACCTAGAATTAAGGAGAAATTGCTTTCTCTCCGTGCAGGGCGAGGCCTAAGGGCTGAGCATGTCTGGAAGTTCCTCAAAAGTGACCATATGGTGTTGAGTTTGCCGAGGATCTCGGTTTTTCAGAAGAGAGAAAGAGAAAGTTAGATTTTAAAATCTCTTTCTGACTTCTGCTGGCGTGAAGATTGCTTAAGCAATTCACACCAGGCAGAAGAGTTTCAACAGAAGAACTTCCTTTCCTTGTGAAGGGGGCGGAGTTTCAGGAGGCAAAAAAATGCTGTATTCAGCGTATGAGATACACCCAGATTTTCAGCCTCTTTTTGGGAGGGAAAAGGGTGCGTCTTATACTCCGAAAAATACGGTATATAGTGGTTTACTACATCTAGTTCTTTCTCCCCAGATACTTTTTTAAAAATCTTTCTTTGATGAATTTATTAGACATAACCTGGCTCTTTTTCAGGTTAATTTTTAAGCCAAAATTGCGTAGGTCTTCCTTGTGCCTAGTATGAATATTGTAATTATTCTTGTTAATGTTTGATTATCAGGATCTTTTAGTCATTTTTTTCTTGTACACAACCAGTGCCCCGTGTCTCCAAGTTTGACGTAGTATAAATCCACCCTGTTTCCCCGAAAATAAGGACCTAACTAGAAAATCAGTCCTAGCATGATCCTTCAGGATGCTCGTAATATAAGCCCTACCCCCAAAATAGGACCCAGTTAGGATTGTCAGCCAGGCAGATGCATTCAGTACCGTCCCCCCCCAAAATAAGCCCTAATCAGAAAATAAGCCCTAATGCATCTTTTGGAGCAAAAATTAATATAAGACCTGGTCTTATTTTCAGGGAAACACAGAAATGCAATAAGTGATTGTTTTGTTTGAGCAGAACAGGTGCTGGGTGGATATCAGGTGGATTTCAGGTTGAGGCACTTAGTTAAGCTTAATCTGTCGTAAGCCGATCGCCTTCCAAAGGCAGCCCTACTTCTTCGTCCTTGTGGTGACCGAACTCCTGCCACGCAGCCCCTCTGCTCTGCCCAGGGACCTCCCAGGAAATGGGCTGGTTTGCTGGATTGGCAGCTGCTCATCTCCCAAGCGACTCTAACCGAAAAACCTGCCTCTAAAAATACAACTGGCCCGAAGAGCAGGAGATCAAACCCAAACCATCCCAAAATAACTCAAACTGAGGCAAAACAAAGAACCACTAGTAGTAAAAGAAGACTTCC